CATTTTTCATTTAGTCTTAAAAGTGCTAAAATTATTTTAAACACTAAGTGAAAATAGGTCAGTTAAACCTAATTCTCTCCTAAGTTTCCAAAAACGTTCACTGTCTAAAGGTTTTGTAAAGATATCCGCTAATTGATGCAAAGTATCAACAAATTTTAGAACTACATCTTCCTTAGTGACATGGTCTCTAATGAAGTGATGTCTTATTTTAATGTGCTTAGTTCTAGAGTGTTGGATGGGATTTTTAGTGAGACAAATAGCACTAGTATTGTCACACTTGACAGGAATGGTACCTACTTCAATTCCATAATCAAAAAGTTGTTGTTTCATCCATAAAACTTGTGCACAACAACTACCAGCTGAAATGTATTTCGCTTCAGTGGTAGATAATGTAACACAATTTTGTTTCTTTGAAAACCAAGAAATCAACATATTTCCAAGGAATTGGCAAGTACCGGAAAAATTATTTTAAAACTAAGTGAAAATAGGTCAGTTAAACCTAATTCTCTCCTAAGTTTCCAAAAACGTTCATGTCTAAAGGTTTTGTAAAGATATCCGCTAATTGATGCAAAGTATCAACAAATTTTAGAACTACATCTTCCTTAGTGACATGGTCTCTAATGAAGTGATGTCTTATTTTAATGTGCTTAGTTCTAGAGTGTTGGATGGGATTTTAGTGAGACAAATAGCACTAGTATTGTCACACTTGACAGGAATGGTACCTACTTCAATTCCATAATCAAAAAGTTGTTTCATCCATAAAATTTGTGCACAACAACTACCAGCTGAAATGTATTCGCTTCAGTGGTAGATAATGTAACACAATTTTGTTTCTTTGAAAACCAAGAAATCAACATATTTCCAAGGAATTGGCAAGTACGGAGGTGCTTTTCCTATCTAATTTGTATCCTCCATAATCCACATCAGAAAAGGAATGCAAGCTAAAGCTAGAGTCTCTAGGATACCAAAGTCCTAACTAGGAGTGTCCTTAAAGTATCCAAAGATTCTCTTAACAGCTAGTAAATGTGATTCCTTAGGGCATGATTGAAATCTAGCACATAAGCAAACACTGAACATAATGTCCGGTCTACTTGCAGTTAGATAAAGTAGAGATTCAATCATTGACCTATATAATTTAACATCTACACATTTACCTCCTTCATCTAAGTCAGCTTGTTGAAGAACTCATTGGAGTGTCATGAGGTTGCCATTTTCCAGTCCAAACTTCTTGAGCATATCTTGACGTACTTAGCTTGATTGATGAAGATGCCATCTTTTCTTTGCTTGATTGGAGTCCCAAGAAAAATAAGAGTTCCCCATCATGGTCATTCGAATTCGCTTTGCATTAGCTTATTAAAATTCTTGGCAAAGAACATCATTAGTAGAACCAATATTATATCATCACATAAATTTGAACTACTAATAAATCTTTACCTTTATGCTTTAAAAACAATGTAGTGTCAACCTTCCCTTTTGAAAAACCTTTTCAATTAAAAAAATTGACAATCTTTCATACCAAGCTCTAGGAGCTTGTTTTAAACATAAAGTACTTTTGTCAATTTAAGAACATGATCGAAAATTTGAATCTTCAAAACCTGGAGGTTGTTCCATACACTTCTCTTTTATAAAACCATTTAAAAATGCACTTTTAACATCCATTTGATATAGTTTAATTCATGAAAACATGCAATTGCTAATAACATTCTAATGCTTCCATCCTAGCTACGGAGCGTATGTTTCATCATAGTCCATACCCTCTTCTTGAGTATACCCTTGAGCAACAAGTCTAGCCTTGTTTCTCGCTATATTACCACTCTCATCAAGCTTATTCCTAAATACCATCTAGTACCTACAGTAGATTTATTACTAGGCCGTTCAATTAATGTCCATACTTTACTTCTCTCAAAATTGATTTAAACTCTTCTTGCATAGCCATAATCCAATGTTCATCATTTAATGCTTCTTTAATATTCTTAGGCTCTATGCATGAAATAAATGCAACATAATTAAAATATTTCTAAGAGAAGATCGAGTTGTTACCCTTTTGATGGATCACCTATAATCTCACCATCCTTGACATAGTTGCACTGTCTTGGATAATAATTCCCTTTCTTCAATGGTTGGATTCTCAGAGGATCATGAGTTTCTCATCTTTCGTTTCTTCCTTTGATGATGATTCTCCAACGTCATGTCTAATGTCATTTGTATTTATATACCTACATCATCATTCAAACAAGAATCCTTCCTTAGAGAAGATTATCATCGAAACAACATGTATAGACTCTTCTAAAACCAAAGTTCTTTTATAAATACTCGATAAGCTTTAGAATTTAAGGAATAGCCCAGAAAAATTCTTCATCACTTTTAGCATCAAATTTGCCAAGGTTTTCTTTACCCATTGTTAAAACGAAACATTTACATCCAAAAGGATGAAAATAGCTAATGTTAGGCTTTTTATTTTGAAAATTGCATATGGAGTTTTCTTTAAAATTGGCCTAATCATTACTCGATTTATAACATAACAAGCGGTATTTGTGGCTTCCACCCAAAAATATTTGGCAAATTATTTCACAAAGCATGGTTCTAGCCATTTCTTCTAAAGTTAGATTTTTCCTCTCAACAACTCCATTTTGTTGAGGGGTTCTAGGTGCTGAAAAATTATGGCTAATACCATTAGAATTACAAAACTCATTAAATCCAAGATTTTCAAATTCAGTGCCATGATCATTTCTAACACTAGTGATAGAGTAACCCTTCTTTTTGAATTACTTTTGAAAATGTGATGAAATTTTCTAATGCTTCATCTTTAGTACTTAAGAATAGAACCCAAGTATATCTAGAATAGTCATCTACCAAAACAAATGCTATTGTTTTCCACCAAGCTAGTAGTCCTAGTTGGCCCAAAAAGATCTATATGGATCAATTGTAATACTCTACTAGTTGACATCATTAATGGATTTAAAAAGAAACTCATTTTTGTTTTCCTTTAGCACAAGCATCACAGATTTTATCATTATCAAATTTTTTTTAGGCAGCCCTCGAACCATTCTCCTTGAACTAACCATTGCAAAACACTCATGCTAGCATGTCCTAGTCTCATGCCATAACCAACTATCATGCTCATCCTTTGCATCTAGGCATAAATAGTCATTTCTATAGAGTCTAAATGCACTATGTATATGTTTCCTATTCTATGACCAACAAGCATAATCCTATTAGATGCAATGTCAATGACTTTACAACCATTAGTTTCAAATATGACATTGAATCCCTTATCACATAATTGACTAATACTCAAGAGATTATGCTTTAATCCATCACATATAACATTTTTAATTTGTATGGAAGATGTATTACTATTGTACCTATACCTTCAATGTGACATTTGAATCATCACAAAAGTCACTTCATCCATTTTTGGCGTTAAGCTCATGAAACCGGTTTTTTGTCACCGGTCATGTGTCTCAAGCATCCACTATCAAGGTACCATGAATTTAGATTTGTTTACCGTGCCTTGTAGCAATGCTTCTTTTCCTATAAACATAGATTAATTTTGATTTTTGGTACCCAAATTCTTTTGGGTACATATTCATTAGTTTCCAAAATCCTAGTCCCCATAGGTATCCATTTATGTAGGATATCCTTATCTTAGTAGTAATGAGCTCTTTAGGAACCCATATACTTCTAACCATTTTTCCATTAGAGGTTTTTTGGGACCTCTATGATTGTAGTTTTAAAACTTTTTCTAACAAGTTGGATTTTGAATTTTCTCAATTTTCAAAACGTTTTGTTCCAACTTTATCAAAAGAAGCTTTAAGATCATCAATTTTATTTCATTGACATTTGAAAGTAAATTTTGCAAATCCAAAATTTCTTTTCAAACTCTTCTAGTTGATTTACAAATCTTTGATTTTACTTTAAGATCGTTGTTGGTTTTGGATATGAGTTATTTTCATTTTTCAATTTTGAAATATCATTTTTATATTTTAAAAACAATTTCTCATAATCCAAAGCCAACCCATTATATTCCCTAATAACTCATCATAGGATAAATCATCAAAATCATATGAGTTAAAGGTTACTTAGAATCTTCCCGAATGCCATCAAGCACAAGTTTGCTACTTTATTCCTCTTCATCGAACCTTCTCATCGCTCCATGTAGCACATGAGCCTCGTGCTTATTCTTTGATCGACCCTTTCTCTTCAATTATGGGCAATCATATTTGACATGCTCCGATTTTTATTCATAGCAAATGATTGGGTCCTTCTCTTTTGGTCATTTTTGAGGCCTTCATTTCGTTTGAATTTTCTTCCTTGGTAAGGTTCATCATTTTTCTGAACCGTTGGCAACAATGCCATTTCCTCGTCATCGTCATCGTCATCTTCATCCGAATCACTCTCATCTTTTGTGGATTTGAGAGCAACTCCAATGTTTTTCTTCTTCTCATTCCCTTTGGTGTCTCTTCAATCTTATCGAGGTCCACCTCATCTTCAAGCATCATTTCATGAGTGAGGAGTGAACGATTAGCTCTTCAAAAGTTAAGGACGTTAGGTCCTTAGACTCGATGATTGTCCGTCTTCTTTGATTACCATGATTTGGAAGGGAGTAAACTAACTTCCTCACAAGCTTTTCATTGAAATGATCTCTCCATATGATTTGAGACCATTGAAAATCGTTGAGAATCTATCCGTCATAGCTTTGATATCTCATTGGTTTATCCTGAAATTTTCATAGCTATGCGTTAGAATACTAATTTTAGATTTTTACCACATCGTACCTTCATGAGACTTGAAGTTTGTCCCATATTTCTTTGGTGGTTGTACAAGATGAAACTCTTGTTATCTAGTCCAAGAGCACAAAAATATGATGGATGGCTTTGGAGTTGAGCTGGAACATTTTTGTCTCTCCTTCACTCCACAATCTTGGATGAGTGAGAGGCTTGATGTATCCTTCTTCTACGACATTCCATGCTCCCATGTCACTTGCTTGAATGAAGTACATCATCCTATTTTCCAATAGGCATAGTTAGCCCCATTAAAGAAAGGAGGCTTGTTGACGGGCATCGAATCGAGACCGGAGTCAAGTTTGAAGTTGAGCCATTGATGACTTGATATCGATGTAACTCTTCCCGAATCGACTCAAGAGGCTATTAAACCTTCAAATGAGTTAGGCTCTGATGTTAATTGTTGAGTTAATCGATCTACGAATATGGCCAAGAGGGGGTGAATTGGCAATTAAAATTTTGGTGAAGCTTTTGCAGAAAATTGAAAGTAATTGTACAACGATTTAGAGTGGACGTCACTACCTTAGCAATCCACACTAAGGATTTTCCACAAATTCACTAATTTCTTTCTTTGAGGACAAAGAGTAACCTACAAACCCTCAAGAATTATACCCCAAATTCTTGAGAACACTCTCTCCCAAAGAGAACAATACAAATTTGCAAACTTACAAGGAAATCCTCACAAGTAGATTGTTTGCACAATTCTAGAATAAAGAAAAGAACACTCAAGAATAATACAATTGAGCACAATAAGTGTTCTTGAAAGCAAAATGAATATTGAATGAAAGATTGGCTTGAAATGCTCAAACTTGAGGTTTAATGCTTTCTCTTTGATTCTCTCTTGATTCTAGTTGCTTGATGTTTCTTGTTGTGATCAATGGCTTCTAAGCTTGCTTAAATACACTTTGAATCACTTCTGAACGTTGTGGATCATTAATGAAGTTATTGTAGCGTTTAAGTGTGAAAACAATAAATATTTCTTCTTGGAGAGTGGGGGGAATCGGTACCCTTGATGGGGAATCGGTTCCCTAAGTGTAAAATTCAAATATTTCGATAACAGTGGTGAATCGGTACCATGGGGGGAATCGGTTATACTGGAATTCTCGGAGCCTTGGGGGAATCGGTTCCCTCTGAGCAATCTGAATTTTTGGCTTTGAAATGGTGAAATATTTTGTAAAATCGTTTTGAAATTATTTTAAGATTAAAACTTAATTTTACACTTGAGTAAGGATTTAAAATGAACTTTGAAATACTTTAATATTCGATTTAATATATCGAATATGCTTAGAAAATCATTTTCAAAATTAAAATTCCTTTAATTTAATTGTTATATCGAAACATCAAAATGTTTTCAAATGAATCACCTTATTTTCTCTTCTCTTTTCTTTTGTTTTTTTTTCTCTTTTTTAATGTTTTTTTAATTTAGGGCGCCCTTTCGGGTTTTTACCATAAACATTTTCTCTTTTTTGTTCTTTTTCTTTTCTTCTTCTACTTAGGACGCTCTTCGGGTTTTCATCTAGGAGAATTATTTCTTGACTGCATCTGAATTGATAATATATGGCAGTTCAGGTCGTCCATTTCAGTCAGGATAAGTGCTCATCGGAAAAGGCCTTTTTCACGACATAAGGTCTTCCCAATTTGGCGTCCATTCCTCGGAAGTCTTTCTGGACCAGCCAAATTCTCTTTAGCACCAGATCTCTTCGCAGAATATTCTCGGGCACACTTTTTTCATGTGCTCGGATCATTCGTTTATGATAGATTTGACCATGGTGAATGGCTTTCAGTCTCTTTTCATCTATCAGGTCAGCTGATCATCGATATTGCACCCATTCTGCATCATCCAGTTTGACTTCTACCAAGACCCGGAGTGACAATCTCTATCAATGGGTAGCACTGCTTCCATCCATAAGCTAGTGAAAATGGAGTTGCCCTAGTGAGGTTCGTACCGAGGTTCGGTAAGCGAACAAAGTAAAAGACAACTTATCATGCCAGTCTTTGTAAGTATCGGTCGTTTTCTCCATTATCTTTTTGATGTTTTGTTTGCTGCCTCTACTGCCCCGTTATATTTGGTGGTAAGCAGTAGAGTTGTGATGCTTTATGTTGAATTGCTCACAAGCAGCATTCATTGTTATTCAAATTTGTAGCATTATTGGTAATGATCGAGAATGAAACAATGACCATTCGAAGCCTTCGGATGGATTTGCCCGATAACATCCATTCCCATATAGAGAAAGGCCATGGTGACATCATTACATGGAGTAGATGAGGTGGAACATTGATTTTCTCCATAAATTTGACATTTATAACATCTTCTAGCATAGTTGATGCAATCACTTTCCAGTGTGGACAAAAAATATCCGCATCTCATGATCTGCCTTGACATCATATGTCCATTTGCATATGTCCCACAAACTCCGTCATGTATTCTTCCATTATCATTTTTGCCTCTTCAGCATCAACGCACTTAAAAGGACTGATTATGGCTTCTATTGTACAAGACCTCCCGTCAAGGACTTCCAACTACCATTATTCTAATGGTTCTTTTATCAGTTTTGGTGGCTTTCTCTGGATAACTTCGATGCTTGATATACTGCAAATGTAGTAGTACCAAGGCTTAGTGTCTTTCACTTCTTCAATTGGTAGCAATGAGCCGGGTACTCATACGACTGCATGTCAATTGGCATCATTTTAGACTCCCTTCCAGCCTTGAATGCGGCTACAAGGTAGCTAAAGCGTCAGCCATTTGATTTCTTCTCTTTTGGCATATAGTGGAAGGTGACTTCATCGAATTCTTCGAGCAGATCCAGTATTAGCTTCCAGTATTTCATCAGCTTTGTATCCTTGGTTTCCCATTCTCCACGGAGCTGATAGATTACTAATTTCGAATCTCCGTATATCTGCAAGGTCTTTATGTTTTTCCCCAGTGCAACTCGAAGTCCCAATACACAGGCTTCATACTCTGCCATATTGGTGCAATCGAAGTTCAGTATGCTGGTAAATGGGTAGAGTTTCCTTTTTGAAGAGATCAAGATTACCTTGATGCCATGTCTAATGCATTTGATGCCCCATCGAAATACGTTCTCTAGGAACTGCTGTTAAAGTACTTGTTTCTTCTAAGATATAGCCATCAAGTCTTCGTATGGGAAATTAAAGTCCAATGGCTCATAATCTCATCGGTTCTACTTGCCAATAACTCGATATGACACTTCCTTGATTTCTTTCTGGCTCACATACTCGATGTCAAATTCAGATAAGAGCATATGCCATCGGGCTAATCTTCCAGATAGAGCAGGTACACCCATCATGTACTTTAAAGGATCTAACTTGGAAATCAACCAAGTAGTGTGATACAACATGTATTTTCGTAGTCTTTTTATAGCCCAGACTAAAGCACAACAAACCTTCTTGATAGGAGGATATCTGTCACAATCGGTGAACTTCTTGCTCAGATAATAGATGGCTCTTTCCTTTCTCCCAGATTCGTCATGTTGTCCCAGGACACACCCCATTGAGTTCTCGAATATGGATAGATACAAGAATATAGGTTTGCCTGGGATAGGGGACATAATGATAGGAGTGCGAGATAAATACTCCTTTACTTTCTCGAATGCAATATGGCAGTTTGCATCCCATGGCTCCTGGATGTTCTTTCGGAGAAGACGGAAGATGGGTCACATTTTTCGGTTAACTGAGATATGAACTACTATGTAGTTCAATCTTCCCAGAAAACCTCTGTCCTCTTTTTGTTCATGGGGGAGGCAATTATGGATAGCCTTGACTTTATCATGGATCGACCTCGATACATTTCCTGCTAACCACAAAGCCTAATAGCTTCCCGAATATTACCCGAAGGTACACTTGTTAGGGTTCAATAGTTGAACTCCCTCAATCTCTGGAAGAGCTTTCTTAGGTTCTCGACATGTTCATTCTCGGTTTATTCCTTGATAATCATGTCGTTGACATAAACCTCGATTTATTTGTGCATTATGTCATGGAACAGGTCACCATAGCTCTTTGATAGGTTACCCCAGTATCTTTAATCCGAAGGGCATCACTTTGTAGTAAAAAGTTCCCCACATTGTGACGAATGTGGTATTCTCCATGTCTTCAGGATGCATCTTGATCTGATTATATCCCGAGAATGTCCATGAAAGAAAAGAAAGCATTCCCGGTTGTATGTCTACCAACGTGTCAATGTAAGGCAGAGGGAAGTTATCTTTGGGACTTACCTTATTAAGGTCCCGATAGTCAACACACATGCGTACTTTCCCATCTTTATTCAGAACAGGAACTATGTTGGCCACCCACTCCGGATACTTGGTCACTTGAAGAAAACCAACATCAAATTGCTTCTTGACCTATTCTTTGATCTTAAGGAGTATTCTGATCGCATTCTCCTTAGCTTTTGTTGCACGGGTTTGCATTCTGGCTTGATCGGTAGTTTATGAACTACCATATCTGTGTCTAGTCCCGACATGTCTTGATATGACCAGGCGAACACATCTCTGTACTCTGAAGTAAGACTATCAGGTTTTTTCTTGCTTCAGCCGAGAGAGTTGTGCCAATTTTAACCTTATTTCTGTCATCTTCAGTGCCTAGATTCAAGATTCGACGCCTCTCATGTGGTAGTATTTGTTTTCTTCTCTTTCAACCATTCTCAAAAATTCGGTAGGCAAGTTGCACTCTATTCATTGTCGCATTCATCGAATTCCCCAAGACAAATGGCCGATTCAAAATCCACCTCCGAATCAGAATCATCAGTGTCTACATTATCACCATCTAGGGACCTGAAGGAAGAGAGAATGTGTATGTGTGAGAGGAAAATATCCCACACGGAATATCAAGAATTAAATTCGAAAGAAAATGGAAAATGAAGTACTGAAATGAAGAAGATAGACAATGAATTCAAAAGAAAAAAAGAAAATTTGTTTGCCATGGAAAGATACAAAATGCATCTTTTATTGAAATTAAACGAAATGTTTATTCACCCTTACAAAAGATCACCTATTGCCCCGGGTATAGGCAAATAGGGATAGTTCGAATATTACTCTAAAAGAGTCTTGTAAACCACATGTAATTCTTCCACCGACTAGCTACTAGGCACGAACCCAGGTGGCAGAGGGCATATCCCAGATCTATCTTCATTGTCAACATCTTCTGTGGTCATGTCAGATCTTCCAGAGCCACATGTAAATCGGATAAGGTGGTTTCAAACACATAACCACCTGACTTGAATGTATGGTAAAGAGAAGGGAATACCATGGGTTCCCATTGAAGTTCACCTCCAGTTAGCCTGACTAGTCTTTTTTCTCGGTTCTTCTGGACTTCCCTCCTCTTTTCTTGGTAACTGGGCTGAAAATCGAGCCCAAACTGGTTTAATTTTGAAATGGGAAGGACTAGACTAATCCTTCATTGTAGCTGTTTCCCAAACCCCTTTCTGGTCTTGGCGCCTCAACCCAGGGTTTGCTTGATCTCTATCTTTGTGTACTTGGAGAGTCGGGGTATAGGAATCTTATTTCTTTCTACCACGAATGTGGCATTCACAAACTCCAAGGAGCGGAATGAACATTCTATCGCTTCATCATGTACTTCGATGTATGAGACCACCGTGGTCACAGTTGCCTCATATCTTCCTCAGTATTGATAATTACTAAAGCCCTTGTCAATAACAAATTTGACCTTTTGATGCAGCATGGATGGTACTACACCAGCTTGATGAATCCATGGTCTTCCCAAACGACAATTATAGGAAGGCATGATATCCATCACTAGAAACTCAACATCGTAGGTGGTTGGTTCGATGGTTAGCGACACCTTGATCTTGTCAATTACCTCTCTTTTGGTCTCATCGAATGCTCGGACCATGTTCTGGCAGGTTCTCATATGTGAGGTATCTATTGGTAGCCTTTTCAGTGTAACCAAAGGCATCACATTCAGGGCTGAGTCGTTATCGATCAATACACTTGGTAAGGCATGCCCCTTATAATAGGTAGTGATGTGTAATGCCTTAGTTCGACTTCTTCCTTCGGATGGAATCTCATCATTTGAAAATGAGATGAGATTATCAGATTGAATATTATTCACCAGTCGATCCATCTTGCTGATTGGTATGTTTTGCGGTACGAACGTTTGATTTAGGACTTTCAACAGTGCTTCTCGGTGTGCCTCTGAGTTCAACAATAGTGCTACATTGAAGTACGCGTAGGTAAGCTGTGGAGCTGTTCTACAATGTTGTACTTGCTGTGCTTTAAGATCTTGAGGAACTTCTTAGCTTCTTCCTCTTTTATAGGTTTGTCGGCAGCTAACACATCTTCTTTGAAAGGCTCAAGTGGTCTCTGCCCCACTTTGCTATCACATCCTTTAGAAGTACTTACCTGGCATTCGTACTTCTATGGTACTTGCCGATTTTCCTTGTATTGAAAAGGCCAAGGTGTTGTGATCACCACCTTGGTTGGTGTTTGTTGTTTTTTTTGCTTTAGGGGTAATTATCAAATGGCTACCCCTACCGTACTTCTTATCGGATGACTCTCGGTAGCATAAAATATGCTTCCAAAGAATCTTGAATTTCTTCGTAAAATTTCATCTTTTTCCGGTCCATCATGAGCTGGATTAACGATCTGAATTCTGGGCACTCTTGCACTTCATGCCCTTCTTCGTTGTGGTAACAACAATGGTTACCATCTTCATTCCTTGCTGCACGTGACTGGGGTATAAGAAGCTCTGGTTTTACTATTTGGCTCCAAACCCAAGCCAAATGAGCTTTAACTTCTAAAACATAAGTTTTAACTCTCTGCCGTTCTCGGTGGTGATTGCATTGATTCCAGTCTCCGGATGATTAGGCAAGGGATTCTTGGCAACGTTCGGTGCTCCGGAGTTGAAATAGATCTAATTTTTGTTCCGCATTCATTGTACAAGCCTCTTGAATGCGAGACAATTTTCGATTGAATGCCCCTGCACATCGCCATGATATTCGCAGTGGGCGTTCTCGTCAAACCATCTCGGATAGGGGGCCTTATTGGATCCATATGATAGGGTGACACCGTGTGAGTGTCGAAGAGCTGTTGATATAACTCTTTATACTTCATGGGAATGGGATCGAACTGCTCCATTTTCCTTTCTTTCCTTGGTTCTCTATGAGCTTGGTTAGAAGTACCATATGGTACAGCTGCAGTTGTTTTTAAACTTATACCGTAACACATTTGTTGGCGCTGTAGGTGTTGACATTTTTGATCTCTCACTCTTTGTTCTTCATGGGAGGCTTCTTACTGGAGTCCCCTCCCTCGATTTTTCCTTGTTTTATAGCTAGCTCGACCATCTCGCCAGCCATAACTAGATCTGAGAAAGTTCCCGATGTAATTGCATCCAGGTACCCGAAGTAAGGTGTTTTTAGGGTTTGTACAAACAGCTTTCTAGTTTCCTTTTCATTCAAAGGTGGATGAACTTGCACAGACAGATCCCTCCATCTCTGTGCGTACTGTCGAAAACTATCGTTATGCTTATTTTCTAGGCTCTGCAGCATAACTCAGTTTGGTCTTATATCATTGATATGCTTGTACTGCTCTAAGAAAGAATTGGCTAAGTCTTTCCACATCTTGATATGAGTTCGGTTGAGCTGGTTGTACTAACGGATAGTTGAACCGAACAGGCTCTCCTGGAAGCAATGGATCAGGAGTTGGTCATTTCCCCATATCCTGTCATCTTCCGACAGAACATAGAGATATAGGCTGAAGGGAAACTGTTCCCGTCAAACTTCTTGAACTCTGGGACTTTGAATTTTAGTGGAAGCACCAGATCTGGAACCAAGCTCAATTCTATCGCATCCACCCCATAATAGTCGTGGTCCCCCTTGACCATCTTCATCTGATCTTCCAATATCTTAATCTTCTCTTCCATCTTATTTGCCTTATCCTCATCATCAAAATCTGGGACATTATAATCATCCGGATGGTTGTCAGATTGGTGGTAGAAGCCTGCCTCTTTACAGCGGATGTTGCTTTTCCCTTGGTAGCAGAAGAGTCTTCTTGCAGTCTGGGTAAGATCTCGGGTGAAATAACCACCTATGGGGTCGGTGATAGGTTACCCCCTCAGACACCTACTGGGTGCACTTGCTTGTTGTTGTAATGAGACAACTTAGCCACGATTTGGTCGACTAAGGATTCTTGGCTTTTCGTTATGGACTCTAAGGTACTCTTATTGTTCTGAGCCATTTTGTCCTCCAATTGTTTTTGTAGCTTTTCCATGTTCTCCTCAATCTTTTCGATTCTGGCTTCCATTTGTCTCTTCTTTGCTCGAGTGTTGTGAGGGTGATGTGTGTCTTAACTTGTGGAGGTAAGCTTGGTGTTTTCTCTTTCTCTTTCTGAGACATGTTCTGTTAGTTAATAAGAATAAAAATATGGAAAATATAAAAATAAACATGAAATATAAATAAAATGCAAAATGCAAAATGCAAATGCAATGCATGATGTATGTGATTTAGAGGCATTGATCCAGAAAAGTGTCTATTATTATAAATAATCCTTATTTAGACAAAAATGTTTTATCTTTTAAGAGACATAAAAACAATCAAAGGTACATCCGGACTAAATCCTCTAGACCGTGTAGAATGCCTTGTCGAACCACTCCAGCTTCCAGTGCTAGGCCGTGTAGATGATGGGTTGCCCTCTGTACTTGATCCAAAAATCTCAGATGATTGTATCTCTGGCCTTCACCCTTTGTTGTGCTTGCTCCCAACGAAAACGCCACTGTAAACCTCTGTCGAAGGGCACTATCTCAAGTTCATTTGCTTGCTTCTTGAACCCATCTACAACAGCTTCTAACTCAGCTATTGTCTTGCCATCTCTCTCATGTTGTTTCTCTAGATCATCCACTCGGATTCTCAAGCATTGGTTCTGATGTTGACTGTCTGCTAAGCGCCTCTAAGTAGTCTTCAGCTGTTCCTTCCAAGCTCTTTCATCATGCCCTTCGAACTTTCTTTTCGTGAGCTTCGTCTTTCCAAAATTCAGAGGTCACTTTCAACTTGGAGTTATCCTTTACTTTATCTTGATACCCATTTCTCAAGTCTTCGAGCTCGAAACGGATTTTCTTCTGTTCTTTCTCCAGTTTGTCTGTCCGATCTTTCTGAGTGTCGGCATTTAGCTTCCACTGACAGCGTTAAGCTTCAAGTTCTTTTACCCTCTGCTTCAGCTCAATATTCACAACTTCAAACTCTTCCTTGGCTATCTCAAGTTCAGAAGGGACATGCCTGAGATGTTCCTCCATGGTCCGGGTGTCTTCACAGTATGGTACCGGGATGTTGTCATTTTTCTCAATCTTCGCCACTCTACATAATCTGGAGTAAGCATGTCTCTAGAAGCCACAATATCCATCCAGAATACTTTTGTAACACTCTCAACCCGGATCCGAGTCCTAAGTGTCACATTTTACAAAACATATCAGAGCTTATACTATTCAAATCTTTAGACTACATGCCAACTACATTCTATAAAACAAAATACATATATTTAATATGTTTCCGATCCGATATTCGTAAGGAAGATGCTGACCTGTCTTGCTCCTCTTAGCTTCTCTCTCACTTCTGCAAACTACGTAAAACAATCACACGCTAAGTCTATGACTTGTGAGGCTTATAAAACATATAATATAAACTAAAACTTCTAACAATGCATATAAATAATTAATGTTATTATAACATACATTTTCATGTACATTCATCAAATGAATACATACATACACAAACCTTATAATATCACCTATGAGTTTTACTATTTCATATTCTTATA